TTATATTATATATTTTAAAATTTATATAATATCGGATAAATCTTTATTTTAATACATTAAATAAATTATTTAAATAATTCCTGGAAAATCGAAATATTCTTGAATAAATATATATTTTTAATATAAATGAAATAAATAATTAATTAATATATATATATAACACAAATAAAATCAATTATGAGATAAAATAAAATTGGAGACAGACCTCAATACAAATTTCGAATTCCAGTATCGCGAGACCATGGAAATTAGAAAAAAACACCTCGGGGAAGGCTTCGAGACAGGCCTCGAGGCAGGCCTCGAGGGCCTCAAGGCTATGGTCTGGAGCAAAACAATCTGATAAAGAAGGAACCTTTTTTAAAATAATATAAAGATAATTATATAAATAATATAACACTATATAAATAATATATAAATAATATATAAATAAGATATAAATAATATATATATAATATAAATAATATATATATATACAATATAGATAATATATATATATAATATAAAATATATATATAAACAATATATAAATAATATATATATATACAATATAGATAATATATATATATATAATATAAAAAATATATATAAACAATATATAAATAATATATAGATAAGATATAAATAATATATATATAATATAGATAATATATAAATAATGGATAAATATATATAATTAATATATATAAATCATATATATAAATAATATATATAAATCATATATATAATATATATATAAATAATATATATAAATATATATAAAAATAATATATATAAATAATATATATATAAATAATATATATAAATAATATTTATAAATTATTATTCCCCACCTGCCAGGTGAGGGTTATTAGATTTTATCAGAGCTGTTCTCCTCCTCCTCCTCCGCCTGCCTCCACCTCCGCCTCCTCCGCCTCCTCACCCGCCGCCTCCTCCTCGCAGTCCAGATCCCAGTGGGCACAGCCGGACCTCCACCGCGAGCTCCAGATCCCAGTGGGCACTGCCGGACCTCAACCGCGAATTG